ACTCAAGAACCTTGCTCTGATACCAATTGTTAGAAAAGAATGGCTCAATCCAAGAGGGGGGTGAATTGGATTCTATGACACTTAAAATTTTTTTAGAGTTTTAAGGATCTTTATTTCAATTTAAACTTTTCTAATATGAATTCTCAAAGAAGTTCCTTGAAAGACTTGCTAATGGGAATGAGTCCTATATGCTTTCTTGATTAATCTTTGATAAAGTTCAAAGTTAAGAACACTTAATATGCAACACTTTGATTCAGTTTAAAGCAATGTCACACATGCAAACATATTAATCAAGATTATTCACTTTAATACTCAACCAAGATTTCTTTTAAGCTTGTATATACGATCATAGTCTAATAATAACACCATCCTAGAGAAATTGCCGATCATTCCGGATGCTGCTGTCTGAGGTTCCTTAAGACTCACATCGTATATATGGAAACAATAATCCTACTCGATTCCTTTTACTTTTTTGGTCACATATAATTCTTCAACCTAGCTTTAATAATCATGGCGAATTAACTTGGCTTGTAATTCCTTCTTGTTTAGACGGCAACTTAAATATATTCCCATGCAAGCATTCGTTATATATACCCACCCATGTGTAAATAATAATAAATAAGAGCATTCTTTCCAACAACCTTCACTTTAAACTTTCCTAGCTATAAATCACCATGCTATTACATTGTTATTTGTTACCCTAATCAAGCATAAACAAGTCCAAAATCTCTAAACAAACACAATGAGCCCTTCCTCTTCCCTTTTGTTCACTTTCACAATCCTCTTTTGCTCTCTCCATTCCTTTGTTCGTGCTAACCGTCTCATCCAACAAACATGCAAGAATTGCTCAAAAACCGACCCCAACATAAGCTACAAATTTTGCGTAACATCTTTCCAATCGGATCATAGGAGCCACTACGCCAAAACCCTCCAAGAACTAGGCCTAATCTCCATCAAGATCATTAGGCACAACGTGACCGATACCAACAACCACATCAACGAGCTTTTGAAGAAAGAGAAGAGCTTAGACCCGTTTATCAAAGAGTGCTTAGATGATTGCCTTGAAGTCTATTCCGACACCGTTTCAACGTTTAGAGAAGCCATTAGAGACTACAAAGCAAAACGTTACGCTGATTGCAATGTCAAATTGAGCTCGATCATTGATGCCTCCACCACATGTGAAGATGGATTCAAGCAAAAGAATGATTCCATTTCGCCACTAACGAAGAGAAACAAGGACACGTTTCAGCTTTCCGCTATAGCACTTTCGATTGTTAACATGCTCATCAGTGCGGATAAATTAGAGGGTGCATTTTGATTATTTTGTAATGGTTTGGGCAATTAATTATTAATAATTGTATTATTTACATATACTATATTTTATAAACTGTTTTGCTATGTGCTTGTCTTAATTGGACCCTCTCAAATTGTATATGATGCTCTTGTGTTTGCTTCTCATGAAAGACAAACTAATGTATAAAGAATAATGATTATTAGAGATCGTGATTAATAGTGATTAGGCGGTAACTTCAAGCAATAGTGATCCTTCATATTGTCTAATTAACTTGAAAGAGATATAGCATAGATGAGTTGAACTCCAAGATTTCTTTCTTTTTTAAAATGTAAAATTCTTCTATCTAGATCGTTTTGTCATTGCTTTGGTGTGTTTGGATGATGTATTTTACAAATTCAAGGAATTTAAAATTCTTGGTATTTAAATTACTTTGATTTCAATTTCTATCATTCTTAAAATATTTTGTTTGGATAAGTCAATTCAATTTTTTTAAAATTTTAAATTGTTAATTTAGATATGATAATTTGATTCTACCATGTAAAATTGATTTTAAAAATATATTTATATGTTGAGATTTTTAAATAAAATTTTATAAAAATAAATATTAGCCAATTTTTAAATATTTAATAATTTAAAAAATTAATATTAGATAATATTTAATAATTTTAAAAGTATTTTTTAATATTCAATAATTAAAAATATGAAGAGATAAAATAAAATATATAAGTGAAATAAGGAAAAAAATATGAAGAATTTCAAATTCTTACTTTTTGGGAGAATTTGAAATTCTACTATTTTAAGAAATTTCACAAATGCTTGAATTTCAAATTCTTTGAAAATTCTCCATCCAAACAAAGTATTTCACCTAAAAGAATTTGAAATTCTTCAAACAAATAAATTACTCCATTTAAATTACTCATCCAAACACACTCTTAAGACTCTCAACAAAGATAGGTGGTCTAAGAGACCAGGCATGCTTTAATTTAAGACTCAACAAAGATGGGTGGTTTAGGAGACCAGGAAGGATATTAGTCCATCAAAACAGAATTAATCACAGGATCGGTATAAGTTTTTGGGTGACATGAGCGAACAAAAAAAAAGTGTCCCCGTACTTATTTGAATATTGTTTTTATATTTTTTTTATTAAAAAATTATAATAATTTGTTCATAATCAAGATTCTTTAAAAAATATTTTCAAGAAAAATCAAAACAAAACTATTTATTCTACCTTGTGAATGATAGATTGCATGTAGAATTTTAACAAATTCAATTTTGAAATACTTTATTCAACAGATGCAACATCAAAAAGATTTGTTAATATTATGTTATAATTTATACATTTAGTAGGAAAACAATTAAATATCTTTAAAGCACACTCAATATCGTAAAGTTTGATTTTATTCAAATTTTAAAACTTCCCTAATAAATTTTAATTCATCAAATAAAATTCTATCATCAAGATTATCATATTTTAGATAAGTTTCAAGTTCTTTGTAACATAAATTCAAATTCTAATAAGATAATGATTTAAGTTTATCAATACTACACAAAACATTAATATCAACTCAAATTTGTTTATCTCTTTTCTATTTTAAATAACCAAAAGGTTTTCAAGGCAATATGTTCAAACTCAAAAAATTAGACAAATATACAAACAAGTATATTCAACGAGGTTTTCAATATTTTGCTTTATTAATTTAAGTTGAAAAATAATTATAAAAATATTTTATATGTTAATTTGAATTTATATAACGAAGTATCATGATTTTCAAATTTTAAAAAATAATATAGACTTGATTTATATATTAAGAACTTTTAATTCAACGGTTGGATTGTTAAAATTTGATGTAGAACATGAGTTATTGAGTGAAGTAAGTCTAAGTAGACTTACTCTTGGAGTAAGCGGTATACTTAGACTTACACTATTCAATAACTCATGTTCTACATCAAATTTTAATAATTCAACCATGAAATTTTGAAGTTCTTAATACATAAATCAAGTTTCCATTGTTTTTTTAAAAAAATTGAAAACTATTTGATATTTTGTTTCGTTAATTCAAATTGATGGATAATCATAAAAATATTTTATACATTGATTTGAATTAAAGAAACAAAGTATCAAATAATTTTTAATTTTTTAAAAAACTTTGCAAACTTGATTTATGTATTAAAAACTTTTAATTTTATGGTTGAAACGTTGAAATTTGATGTAGAACTTAAGTTATTAAGTTGAGTAAATTTAGGTAAACTTACTCTTTGAGTAAATGTCTTTGAGACTAACTCTAGTTAAAGTTACTCCACTCAATAACTCATGATGTATCTTAAATTTCAACGATCAAATTGTTAAATTATTCTTTTTAATGTGTATTGATCAAGTCTATAGATTTTAAAAACATTTGAAAAATATATGATACTTCGTTATAAAAATTTGAATTAACATATAAAATGTTTTTATGATTATCTATGAATTTGAATTAACAAAACAAAATATCAAACCATTTTCAAAATTCTTAAAAATTTCTAGATATGATCTATGTACGCATTAAGAACTATTAATTTAACAATTGATAAGGTAAAGTTACTCCACTCAATAACTCATGGTATATATTGAATTTCAATTATCAAATTGTTAAATTAAAAGTTCTTAATATATAAATTAAGTCTTCAGATTTTAAATTTTTTTTGAAAACTATATGATACTTTGTTATATAAATTAAAGTTAACATATAAAATATTTTTATGATTATATGTTAATTTGAATTAATGAAAAGAAGTATCAACTAGTTTTAAAAAATTCTTAAAAATTTATAGACTTAATCTATGTATTAAAATTTTTTAATTTAATAGTTGGATCGTTGAAATTTAAAATATACTATAAGTTATTGAGTAAAGTAACTTTACCAAGAATTACTCTTAAAGTTATTTGATCTCGCATCTATATATATTCACTTTTATTATTTACATTCATTTTAAAAATTTTCATAATAAATTATTAATATAATTAATAATTTATTATGTCATTACAATTTTAACTTTTTCCTTTTGGAGAAAGAGAGATAAAATAAACAAAAAGGATGACAAATTAAAGAGTTTGGATCCATTTTAGCTAAAAATTTAGCACAATAATTGCCTTTCCTTAAAGTGTGAACTAATCTAAAGTGATGGAGGTTAGTCATCACTATAACAAAATTGATTATTACCGACAATTATTTAGTGACAATAAATTAATTATTTTTATTTTATTATTTAATAAAAATATCAATGGCTAATATATAATGGCCACTAAAAATGTATTTATATCACACCAAAATTTACTATTAGCGACAATTATTTATTTGAAAAAACTTAAGTCCCACATCGACTAAAAATAAGATAATTAAAGAGTATATAAATGGATGATAACTCTCACCTTACAAGTTTTTTTGTAGGGTTAAGTTATACCTATAACTTACTATTTTAAATTGGTATCAGATTACTCACCATTACCAAACTCAATAGTCCCTAAACTTGAGGGAGTGTATTGGAAAAAATTCAAATCTCACATCGACTATTGATAAAATAATTAATTAGGAGATAAGACAATTAAAAAATATATAAATAAAAGACAATTCTCATCTTACAAGTCCCACATCGAGTAGAAAATAAAAAATGTCACAAAAAGTTATACACTTTTTTTAACCATTAAAAGAATTTTTACCAGCATTCAGAATAGCTACTACTAAATATTTTAGCAATACTACATATAATGATTATTGTAAAAATGTCACTAAAAAAATTTGTAACAATTTTTATTACCACTAAAAATTATATTAAATACTACTATAAATCTATTTTGTTGTAGTGCATCAGTTCCTTGATATGTTGAATGATATAGGCAATACTTGTGGTACCTCTTTCTTGGCTGTCAAACTAAATCCAAGATATGAGTAGAATCTGATACACAAAGAATAGAGAAAGGCCTCATCTGCCAAACTATCTATAGCCCAAAGAGCAAAGGTAGTAACTCAATGTCACCAAAAAAGCCTTTATCCAAGCTCCCTTTGAATCTCGCGACAGACCCCCCACACTAATAGGACCAGGTTGGCCAAAAGAGCTACCATCTACATGTAAAGCTATTTGGTTCCCAGTTGCCTACACATATTTAACCGACGTTTCTTTGGTCCCAGCTTTTGCCACTATCCCATCTCCCATGTACACATGTTGCAAGGCACCATGCAGACTACGTGCCTGAGAAACCAGCCTCTAAATATTATGCGTTGTAGTAGTAAAGACTTGTTGGTTCCTATTTAACCAAAGAACCCAACAGGTAACCAACGGTAGCACATTATAAGAATTATAACATTTTCGCAACCATTGGAGCCATGAAACCTCACCACTAGGGGATGACCATCACTCATGTCGAGCCTACACCAAGCTTAAGAAGTGGTGCCAAAACATGCACAATATCCTCCTCCAGTGTGCCACACCGCATGCAAGTTGAGGATGTTGTTATATATGATAGATGCCTAGATCAGTAAGTTGAAACACTTAAGAAACACGTTAAACAATAGTCCCTGAGGCATGTGATGATACTAACTTTAAGGACTTATTTGCGAGATACGCGCAAGTCCTACAAAATACAATAGGATCATCTCAAGTAATTTAAGGAACAAAATTGACAAAGGATGAACCAGAACCTAGAAGAGAGAATAGAGGACGAAGAGAAGAAAGTTTGGGATGATTAAATGGAGCTCTTGAGAAGCTTGTAAACTGTCTGAAAATTAAAGGGTAAACCTTATTTCATAAACCATCGAAAATTTAATGAATAAACTTTGTCTGAATAAGACCGTTTAGAGAATAAAATATTAGATCCGGTAGGATCAGACAAGACTTTTAAGGCTAGTCAACTCTTAAATTGAAACATAAGAAGGTCATATTTTGGACACGTTTGCCTCAATTAATTAAAATAATTTAATGTAATCCAAAATAAAAATATTTTTGAATCTCATTTTTCACACATGTACGGGGGCAAATCAGCAAAGTTGAATAATAAAAGGCTCACAAGATCCATCTCATGCACGCAAATCAATACTCTTTGTGGAGAATTCGAATGGCTATGACTTCTCTTTCAAGTTCCTCCCTAGACCTTTGGCTTCCTGACACTTCTCAAGCTTCTTCAAGGCCTCCAATGGAGGTAGAGGCCTCTGGTTTCACCTTAGGAGGTGAAAAACTCTCTTCAACTGATGCCACTCCTT